GCTATTAAGTAATAATTAATGTTTAGAAAAAGAGTGTTTATTATAAATTTATCGAAATGAATTCGATTGTAATATAGAAAACATGTTGGCAAAATTTTTAATATATATATGAGCATAATGACATTAAAGATTAGCACAGCTTTAAAGAAAAAGAATATGGAAGAAAGGTGAATCAAAATTCTTATTATGTTTTATTCTTTACCATTTTTTTTATTTTATTATTTTATTAATTAAAAAGAAAACTTATTTTTATATTCAATGAATTTATACATGTCAGTATCAAAAACAATGATTTTTATGCAATTTTGCAATTGATTGAAAAAATTAATTATTGATTTATTTTCTTGATATGATTATTATTTATTTTTTAAAGCGAATAAAAAATATGTTAATTATATCAAATTTTTTATTCATTGAACGATGAATTCTTCTTACATTTTTTTATAAATTTTATGAAATCTAATAACTTTCTTTCTAGATTCATTCAATTGATATTTTTGCATTTGATTGATCTTAAAGAGAAATTGTTTGTTTTTCATATAGAATAAATTATAATAATTTCTACGTATACTTAAATATTAAAAAAAAAATAATAAAATTTTAATACTTCACACTATATCATGCCCGTATTAATCCATATTAAGTATCTTTATCAAAATTTTAATATAGTTTTTCTATCCATTAGAATATATCCATTTGGAAAACTATTCTTACCAATCAAGAGAAAAAGAAACTTTTTTGAGTTTCTTTTCCAGTGGTGGTGCTGTTCGCGGAAAAAGCGACAACGTTGCGGGTTCTGGAGGCAGCGAGACGCGTTAGTGTTGGCTCTCGATTCGTTTGGTTGTGCAGTGATGCATGGCCGGATCACAACGACATAAATTGCCAACAAACCACTGTGTTGGAAGGTGCTCTTGCTGTTCAACCACTCTATGCCCCTCTATCGGGCTTTGACGAGTACTTCACGGGATTGACTCTTGACCATGAGCAAAAGAATCCTTGGTTCCGCGAGTTTTGGCAAACCTACCATAACTGCGTCTATGAAGAAGAGGCGAAATATTTCTCTTCTTACAAGGTAAGTCTTGGTTTTCTTTTTAAATTAAAAGAAAAAAGAAGATTGTTTGATAGATTATTTTTATTTATTTAGGAGAAATTGAAGAAGGATGATATTAGATTATTTCAAAAAGTTCTTTTTGTTCTTTTGCTATACATATATAAATGTAAAACTTTCGTGATTTTTATTTTTGTAGAATAATGATCATATTTACTATGTACTTTATAAAAATACTTTATATACCTTTATATACTTTTTATACTTTATAATAATAATATACTTTATATGTAAATTGTGTTAATTAAAAATTTTTAAATTCTATTTCTTTGGAACATCTACTATTCTCTTTTTTCAAAATGAATTTGATTTAAGTATTTATTAATTATATGGTTTTTAATATCATTGAGGGAACTAATTTTTTTTAATAGAAAATCATCAAATGATTTGATAGGATGACATCCATTTGATATATTATAATTGTAAAAGAGTAGTTAATAATCTTATCAATTTGTAACTTTCTATTATTATTAATTAATAAATTTTGGAAAAGGATTTAGAATATTCAATAAAAAAAATTGAATATTCTCAAATAAACTAGATTATAATTAATATATAATTTTTCAAATTATTTGCATGCCAAAATAAGTACAAACAAATAACGAAAAAAACTTTTATAGCAATCTAACACTAATAATATTTTTTTATATAATAATAACATAAAAAATAATATAATGATAATAATTTCAACATAACTTAAAACAAATATAATTTCTTTATCTTTTATACAGAATGTTAATATATTCATAAGATATTTTTAGAGAATCTAAAAATAAATACAAAATAATAATATAATATTTCAAAAATTCTTTGAGATTGAAGCTTATTCATTAAATTATTGAAGTTTGTATGTTAGATGAAATGAGATGGATTATATTATACATATTGAGACTGTAATATGAATATTAGATAAAATGAATTTTCATTTTATCTAATATTTAAATTTTTATATTTTTTATATTCTCTAAAATTTTATATTTCTAAAATATATTTTGATACATTATATATTCTGAATTTTAAACTTCTTATATTTTTTAATAATATGAATTTCAACTTAATATTTTTATACTTTTTCTGATATTCAAAATCAATTTGAGTTTTAAAAATGTCTCATAACAATATATTAACATTCTGTAATTGTATTATAATAATATCATTAATAGTAGCATTTAATAATATAGTATGAACTATAAAATAAAATTCTTAGTACAAATTAGAAGATAATATAGCACAAAATAAGATAAAAATTGAAGATATAACAAAATTGTATTGAAGAATTTTTAAAAGAATCAAATTTAAAAATTTATCAAATATACATAAACTTGATAAATTTTCAAATATGATTGAGTAATTAGTGGAGGGAAGTGAACATATTTTATGATTTATTGATAATACAACAGAAAAATTGAATAAGATACACTCAAACAAAATTGAATAAGTTTTAAAATGTATTCGATTTTTTAAAAATAAGATTATAAAAATATACTATAATATACTATAAAGAAAAAAATATTATTATATTTTTTATTTATTCTTGCACATAATACAACTTTTCACTGATTATATATTTAGTCACATCCAGATAGAATTGAGATATTGAGACACATATGTATTAATTAATTTTTAAATAATTAATAATTTTTAAAATTTTGCAAAATTTTCAATGCAATTCTTGTACCTGTTTTAAACCATTTTATCTCTCAGACTTCATTTATACTATTTTGATCCATGCTGTATAAATATAAATATACGTTAGAAAAAAATAAAAATATAAAAAATTGTACGATTATATTATTCGATAATTTTTAATTTTTTTTCAATTTTTGTAACAAACAATTTTTGAAAAAATCAGTTTAAAAAAAATGATAATTTTCCAATTTCGAAAGTATTTCGTGTTTTTATAATTATTTAATTATTTTAATTATTCGATACTCGAAATGCATTCACTTTTGTTGATATTTTTCAATTTATTTCTAAAACTAAAAGGAGAAAGGAGAAAATCTAATCATACCATACGATAGAACAAATTTTTTTGTTAAGAAAAACATCGAGGAAACTTACAAGATCATTCTTGTTTTCAATATAGAAACGAAATAATTTGGCAAAACATGCGGCAGTGATGCTCAATGATGGTTCTTTCGTCGTAATTTCGATATGTTGATGCACAGAATTGGATAAATTTCAAAGTGTTAATAAAAAGTATTGAAAACAATAATTGAAATGTATTTATTTGAATAAGATAATGTTTATTTTATTTCTTAATATTGACATAGAAGAATATTTGAAAATATGTATTTTTCATATATATGAATTGAAATTAATTATTAATTGAAATGACATATTTTGTAAAATATATTAAAAATATTTATATATATATATATCATTTTCTGGATATATATGAGAAATAATTATTTCAATTAATAATTCATAATCTTAAATTTAAAGAAAATTATTTCAAATATTACTTTTTAAAGATTATTATTAAAAGGAGGAAGTAAATCGAATATTATTTTTTTTAATCGAAATATATGTTCAAGAAAGAAATATAAATTGAAATAATTCATAATGTTATCCGTTTAATATCCGTTAAATATTTATTTATTTTGTTAAATATTTATTTATTTGCCTTTGGTAACGTACATATTTCAAATAGAAAATCAGTTAGATAATTACGTGGTTTCATAACTATCCTGTGAAATAATAATTTTTTCATTGGCGTTGATGAATAATATATAATTGAAATACATATTTCATATACATATTTAAATAAATATTTCAAATAATATTTCTATTAATATGAAAGTAAATAATTATTTCAAATTAATCAATGTAATATATTTTAGGAAAACATTCTCTGACAATATTTCTATTTTATTTCAATTATTATTTTATCCAATATTTGTTATTAAAAATCATATATAACAAAAAAAAGAATTTTATCCTTATATTTCATTTCACTTTATACTTATATATATTAAAATAATGATTTAGTTATTAATAGCAATTCTTAATTATTATTCAATTTTGTAACAAATTATTTTATGATCAAATTTAATATAATTCAATAACATTTCTTTAGATAGATTTTTTTAATATAATTTAATAGAATTATAATAGATAATTATAAGAGATTATACAGGATCATCATTATGATAAAACTACAAGTTATATGAATAAATAATATCAATAATATCAAAATCAAATTAAAATTTCTGAAATCAAATTTTTTAAGATTTCTAATTTTACATTTTTTTAAATATTAAAATTCACTACGTATGCAAAACTTTTTTTTCACTCTTTTATTCATCAAACTAATTTTTTTTTAAAAACATAAATCGAAATTTCATATTAATTTTCTATTATATTATATGTTTAGTTATTATGCTAAAAATATAATAAAATATCCAGTATATATTATGAATGATAGGAAGAAAAAAATGATATTTTTCATCTTATTCTATTTACTATCTTAATCCAATCTTTTCTATTTATTTAATTATTTAAAAATACAGCCTTTGATGTTCAAAATCAAGTACAAGAAATAAACACAGAAAATAAAAGAAAAAGAAATAGAATGACATGAAATAGATATTATAATTGATACATTGCTTTTGGGTAAATTTATTCAAATATTTATTGAAATTATTAGAATGAAAAACTTTAACAATATAAATAAGATGAATTAACATGAATCATTTTAACAATTTTTTATCATGACAGCGAATTGAAATTAAAAGTTGCAAATATATATCTTTTTTAACATATCTATTATCTCTAATTTCTGAAGCAGAATTTGTCTTCATTTTTTATTTAAAATAAAAGAAAATAAAAAAAAATAATTACTTTAAATAAAATAAAGATAGAAATAAACAAACGAATAAAATACAAAAATGCAATAATAAAATAAATTAATAAAATAAAATAAAATATTCTTAAATAATTATTTTAAATGATAATATAAATATTATAATAAATAAAGATCTCTCTAGAATCGTAATTATCTCTCATCACATTTGAAATTGTGCGCTATATTAGCCTTTTGCGCATGCGTTTCCTTTAATTTGCGACAGTACTGATTCAATTTGAATAGTTCAAATCAGTTGGAAACGAACTGCGATAGTGACAAGTACGAAAGTAAAGAGGATCACTTTTCAGAAGTGAGATTTTTATCAAAATCATTTGAGATTTTTCAATTCGGGTTTTTATCGTGATTTATAGTGAGATTTAACTGCGAATTAGCTGTGAATGTGGGTAGAATAACAAAAAAAAAAAAAGAAAAATCGTGATTTCGATGTTTTTAGTCGAAACATTTTTCTCAATCGTACATACATTAATATTGAGAATGTAGTTGCGAACAATGTTACTATAATTGGAACATCGTGTGGTATTTTTTCATATTACGAAAAGCAATTTGTAATATTTTAATAATCGTTATGAAAAAGATTATAATTTTAAGACGGTTAAAAGAAACGATTTGAAGACGATAGTTAACCTTTATGATCACATGAGGACAGAAGAGTGTGTGGAACATTCGAGAAATTGAAGCAAAAAAAAAGAAAGTAAAAAACGTAAACAATTAGCGGTTGTTGAAGAGAGAGCTGTATTAGAGAAAAAGTCAGCAATATAAACAAATCGTAAACGGGACATACGAAAGGTAACGCGAAGGTAAAAATAATAATAATTACCAACGGTAATAGTCGATAAAGAAGAATCAAGAATCATAGGTAAGTTTATTTCAGTCAATTAATGGTGCAAATAGAAGAAGGCGTGGAAGATTTATACAATGTAACGTTCAATATCTACATAGTGTGAAACTATGTATTATGCATGAATTAAGAAATTATATATTTAAAAATTATATTTAAATATTTAATTAAATTTTTAATCCTATAAGTAGATTGTGGTATCTAAATATCATAGATGGATTTTATTATCTACTATTTCGTGGAAATTAATATTATTTTTTTTAAAGTTAAATTTCTTTTATTACATTATATTTTACTCATTTCGAGGATCAAAATGAATTATGTATTTACAACTTAAAAATTTATGTTTTTAAAAAATAAAAATCTAGAATTTAATTAAATGCTTTTACATGCCTGCAAAAACTTTTTTTCATGATTTTGTTAATAAATTATTATAAAAATTATTAATAAAAAACAATCAATCTAATTAATGTATATCTTATATATATATAATATATATCTCAAGAACTTCCTCTAAATGTTAGTTTTGCCAAAATAATTAAATAAAATAATATTATTATAATTAATAAGTAATTAATAAATAATAAATACGAATATAATAAATATTATTTATTATAGTTACTTAATTTTCTAATAATTGAAATGAATGTCATTCGAAAAATTTTATGTCTAGAGAAATGACGTTAAAATATTATATAAGTTTGAAAATAAATATACAACTTTCATTATTCGAATATTTAATATTTAACATCTGAATCTTTTATTAAAGAAACATTCTATTATTCGAATTGTCTTTACACGCAACGATGTAAATAGAGACCTTTTTTTATGACTACAATGAAAATAGAATTTAAAATTTAAAATTGATATTGGATATGATATTTACAATATTAAAATATTGAAATATGAACGTGTGCTTACATGTATTATTTATTTAGTAAAAGCTCATAAAGTATTCATATCTTACATTCTAATTATAAATCTATCTTCAAAATTATCATCTAAAAATAAATATTGATTTCATATACTCATAATTCTTTAGTATTTGAATAATCACAAATGATTTGACTTTTGGCATAATGATATGCTCAAAGGAAATTTCTTTTGCTATGAAAATTGAAATTTTTATAAAAAATAAAAAAGCATATTTTTTTAATTAATAATAAATAAATCAAATGGATTGGCAAATATAATTTATACGTACTTTCAAAAGAAAATTTTATCATTAAATGAATAATATAACAAGTAACTAATTGAATTTCAAAAATTACATTGAGTAAATGATTATTATAGTTATTATATATTATATAAGAATTTTAAAATTAAATCTTTATAATAATCTTTGAATATTAATCTAATATAAAACTTTAACAAATATAATTTTAATAAAAAGTAAATCATGTTCAGTTTTTAAACCAAGATCTTCAATTCTTACGTGTAAGATAAGTATGCAATTTCATAGATTTATGAACATAGTTAAAATTTATTTGTGTCAATCCTCAATACTTGCTAATTCTTTTTTTTTCTTGTTTTGCTGAAAAATCTTGATATGATGCAGAAGTTGCTATTAATGATTTGGAATGATTTCTCAAGAATTTCTTGATAATTCTTAAAATTTATAATTGTAAAATAATATTGATAATATTTATCAAGAAGAGAACTTTAATATTTATTCCTGTCTAGTTTACTCAAAAAGTGAAAAAATAGGCATTAAATATAATACAAACTTTTATAAAATTTTTATAAAACATCAGAATTTTTTTATTTGAACTAATATCATTTTATTATTAATGAAATTTTATAACAAGTTATAATTTTATAACAAAACTTATAAAATAATATATAAATATTTACAAAAATTCAATTTAATTATTGTTAAGTCTGAAATGTATATTTTACTCTATTAATTGTTAACTGTTTCTAAATTAAAATTATGTTAATTATGTGCATTACATAATTATTTCTTTACAACTTATTTTAGTTTAAAAAAATAATACACAAAGTAGAGAAAAATTATTTATTTATAATTTTTTATTCCAACAAATTAGTTTTGGCAAATATAAATATTTTATATTTTATTGCGATCTGTCAATAATAATTTCCTTCATAAAATGAACAAATTATAAAAACTTATAATTTTAATGGAAATATTTTATAATAAATTTTTTTTTATCGAAGAGGTAGGGAATATATTTACCTACTATAAGTAAATATAAAATAGAGAATGAACGTTTCAATTCGCCTCGATACCCATTAAATTCTATTGTTTTCTTTACTTTTATTACTTTTGCATATATTTCAGGAGGATTTTCTTTGATATCCATTTTTTTTTTTTTTGCCTGTTTTATGCTTCCTGTCTTATACTAATTTTCTCAAATATTTTCTTCTATATAAGAAACTATCTTAAGCTGATTACATTGATTAAATTGTAAATATATATAATTTGATTATACTCTCTTCTTGTAGGGAAGAATCTCTTCTATATAAGAAACTCTCTTAAGTTGATTATATTGCTTAAGTTGATAAATGTATAATTTGATTATTATATCATTAATATTTTTTTGTTTCATCTTTGTATTTCGCTGGATCTTCATTATGACTTTTCCAAATTTTCTCTTCTTGTAAAGTAGAATTTCCTCTAAGAAATTTCTTCCAAAATACGATTGTGATAAGTTATTGACATTTTTTGTCCTTTTTATGTTCTTTATGTTGACTCAATGCGCCGCAATTTCTTCAAATCCTCTTTTCTTGTAGAGAAGAATTTTTTCTATATACAAAAAAGTATCATAAATTGCTTAAATATATAATTTGATTAGATTTTACAATATATATTTTCTTTTCATATTATATGTATACATATATTCGTGATATTCACTAAGTCCTGCTGAACACGAACATTGTTCACAATTTTCACGATTACACGATATATTTGTTTGCAACAATTGATTTGCTATTTCATGTTTTTATATTTCTTTATTCGTTGAACAATTTCATCAAAATATATAACATCAAGTGAAGATATCATTTGATTATTCTGTTTATGATTTTTTATATTTACAAAATTTCTAAACAAGATTAAGAGACTATACGCTTTTTAAACATATTTAATTAAACAAAAGTAATTGGGGAAGACTGTAACTTTCTTTCTGTTACAAATAGAAAAAGTTGTAAAATAATTTTGCATTATTTGAAGTATAATGGTTTTAAGATGCGAAAAATAAGATTAATTGTGATTCATTTTAATTTAACTAGGATGAAATACCGAATCACTTATTATTGCAATTAAATTCTTAAAATGACAATTGCCTTTCTTACATGAACCAGAATTTTTCAATATTTCGAAAATGGTATTCAATATTTCAAAACGTCCATAATTGGATATTCATAAAATTCTGGTTTATTAGAACTTATGTATTTTTCATAGAAATATGCCTTGAGCATTTCCATATTTTCTGTACATCAAATTTATATTTTACAATCGTACAAAGTTCGATAATACAATAATTCAATAAATTTTATATTTATATAAAATTTATATATTATATTTCTTAATAAAATTCGGAGCTAAGACGATTAAAATTTATAGATAAAAGAAAAAAAAATATCAATCATGACTATCAAATAATATATGAATAATTTTTTATGCGATTTTAGATATAGATATAGATAAAGATATATGGTGTAGAAAAAATTTTTTATTGTACGAGAAATCTGAAAAAAACATATTGTTTGTAACAGATTTCAAATATATGAGAAGAAAAGTAAAGAAGCAAACTATTTGCTAACAGACATTACTTGTTATATCTTTTATTTTTTTCATTTGTCCGTATTTTAGAAAAAAAAATATTATTTATAACAAATTCCAAATATACAAGAAAAATAAAGAGAATCATTGGAACAATCTGTCCAATATTCTATAAAAAGTAGGAATCAATATATATTATTATATATAAAGAGTTTTTTTACAGTATTTTTTAATATTAAACATTCTATGTTTTATAATTTCTCTAACATTGTTGATACATTGTCGCAGTTCTTTTGTGATCAGCCAATGAACTTATTTTGTACTTTTACATAGCTGTGGTAGAGATGCACATAAGCTCTTCCAATTTCTATACTGTATCTCTATATGTTGGATCAACGTATTCGAATATACTAATGTTATGAAGAGACATGCAAATAGTTTTCCTATGCGTGCCAACCTTCACCATTGTTTATCTTTTCAACGGTTTTTGTTTTTGAAATCAAAAGATGTTGGATCGATATTCCAACGTCTTCAAGGTCAAAACAAATCATAATTATATACAAGTGTTATTCAAATATGAATACTGATTTTTGGATACGTTGGTTAAGCTCACAAAATTGGAAAATTGATCCAACATATAAAGATATGACATTGCAAAATATCGTTGCTACGTTATAAATAAATAAGTTTTATTTGCAACGTTAAATTCTTATTATAATTTTGTAAAACGATTTTACTAGTTGAAAAATAGAATATATTCAAAACAGAGAATAGAAATTTATCGATAATAACAATGATAATACGAATTTTCGTAAACTCTCTATATCGAATATACATATAGTCATGTTGTAAAGCAGAAAGTATAAAATTTATTGATAGCAACAATGATAAGATAAACTTTTGTAAATATTTTTAATGTCAAAAATATTTACATGTAATACGCATAGCTTTATTCAAAATATAAATTTACAATCTTTATTGTTTATTAATAATAGATAAATGATAAGATATAATTTAATTTAATTTAATTGTATACAATTTCGTGTTCAATCGAATCGAATTCGAATTTTACAATCCAGTTGTACAATTTTAAGTTTAAGCATTGCCACAAAATAATATCAATAATAAATAATAAAAGTAAGATTCAAGATTTCGTTTCGAGTTTTTCTGATTTTTTTTATTTTTATTTTTAGAATATCACGTATCCTATCGCTCTTTTTATAAATTTTTTTGTTATCAGGAATATTAACAATTTTGTTCCAACAAATATTATATAAAACTGAATGTAATATTTTTTGACACTAAAA